TTTGTTCGGGCATTAGTTAAATTACCCACATTCGGTACCTTTGAAACAGTCCAAATACCCTTGGCTATCGCCTCGGGCGTGTTAGACTGTTCCAAAGGTACCTTGTGTGGGTAATTCTTACTAATGCCCTCACTGCTGTGCATTATTTGTATACTATACCATGGGGTGGGGGTGGTATAGTAAGTGTCTCTTTATATGTTCATGATCATTTCGTTTTTAGTTTAGACCGTTAGATTACGATTTGATGGTTTGGTTGAAGGGCAACGGAGTCTTCATTGTTGTCATTATTTGAGGACGGTGAATTTATATCCAAGTTTCAGGATTAATATCATAGTGTAATTACGCAAAATGTGAGGAAATGCTCTAAAGCACATCGCGTTACTGTATAATTGGAAGTAGATTGTGGGTTCTAGCAATGGCAACGGAATGCTAAAACAGGTTATTATTTGATGTAAAACCAGGAAAAGTACTTGTTGGGTAAATAGACATATTAGACATAAACCTGTTGTGTATTGAACACTTGGGAATCCAAAACATCCTATTCCATCAAAATATAATATCGTCAAACTATATTAGGATGAATAAATCTGTCTTGCTTTGAACAATCATTCAAAGCAAAATGGAAATAAATTTGTTCATGTATTTTTTTCTGATAATCACACGCTCTGCACACATCAATTGGTACGACGTGCACACTGTGGTGCATAGTTTTCAACTCTTTGTCTCCATATTTCGAATATCAGAACATATGAAAAGTATTTCTATATCGATATTATTCCAAGGTGACATAGGGCGTGTTCATGCTTCACTTTTTCTGGCCAGAATCAGGCATCTGTTACGCGTTTACTTTAAAACAAGGTTGCGTCTTAGCTCACTTTTGTAGAATCACCGAAAAACGGCGATCACGATCGCCGATCGTAAACTCACAAAAAGATGCGTTTACAATTTGTAAACGCGTTTAAATGGGGTCAACGCACTACGTAGCATGCACAGTGAAGGTTTGCGAATCCAGCTGGAAGACCAATTAGGGCCACACAGGGAGAATTGCCTTGAGGAGCCAGAGAAGTTAGCATGAGCAGTACACCGTGGAACTGCGATCACGATGAGCGTTTACGATGAGCGTTTCAGATCGCTCATTCTACCTTCAAAATCAAGCATGAACGCGCCCATAGAAAAATAATGTAAAATCCCCTTTAATTGTTAATATCATTTTATCAACGAAGGTGGTGCGGAAGGCATTATATATTCGGGTCGGCTAAATCAATTGCGGTACGAACTTTAAACATGGTGATAATAATCATCATAGGTAAACGATCTGACTATATTTTGGAATATGTCAAATGTCATAAAGGTCAATTCCCATGAAATTAAAGGTAATTAGCCTCATTGTTGTAATATTTCGAGAATCGTTTGAGGTATGAACGTCAAACATGATGATATCATTCATCAGATTACAGGGAGACTAATGGGTTAGTGAACATCTGGAAATTTAGCCTTGTTTCAAGTTCCCGATATCTGAAGTACATATTTGAGGAAATTGACCTAATTACATGTATCACCATAGAGGGACGGAATTATAACAATTAGGTTTAATTAAGAATGTTGAGATCAGAGTTTAGATGTCATGAAATTGAAATGAGATGAAATGTTTTAGCCTCAATGTTCATATTCCAAGGACTCTTTGAGCCACTCATCGTCAAACCACCACAATTTAAGGCACTGGAACCGGGGGCAGAGAGCACAATGCCCTAACGTCAGAAAAACGGACTGTCCCCCTTTTAGACATAGAATCGTAGATGTTTTCATGTTCAAAGAGACATGAGTGATTACAATACGTGCTTGTTGAGATGTTTTTGCCACCTCCACCTCCCCCCTCTCCGAAAGAACAGGTTTCTCATAGCATCCCTTACGGATGCCCTAATTTAAAGCGACTGAGATCAATTGTTTTCACATATTTCCCCCAAAAGCTTGCTTGCATTAAATAGTTTACCTAATAACGTAAACTATCAAAGGTCGTATCCATTCTTTCATTATAATATTAGGCTTAGTTCCTCTTGATAACATCCAATCGATCGCATCTCGACCTCACAAATCTTGCCCTCTCGCGGGCAAATTATTCTTTAGATCATCGAACACACCAGTACTGCATAGTAGGATTTTGAAGCAATTTATTCGACCCTGTAGAAATACAAACAGTGAAATCCTGAAGATCATCCTTGATAATGGGGTAATTACAATAACATTACATTTTTGTTCCACGTTGAGGTTACCAATTGCAGTTGAACCTTTTTATCTATAAAAAAAAAATGCCCTTTTTGTAAGTCCCCCCCCCCCCCCCCTCGTAAAGACGCTCCGTCGCCCTCGTTCATGTGTACATTAGAAGCAACACATTCCATTCCATAGACAATGTGTCATGGGCTGTTTCGGCATTCCCAACAACATTTATTTCAAGGATGTATTTCTTAGTTGCAATTTTCCAGGGACATCCCCTCTCCTTTTCACATCAACTGCACACATTGAGAGCACATAACGACGATGAGAAATTAGGGCTAATGTATTCAGCTACTCGTAGAACCCATGCAATATACACGACCGAAAGTGTTATAAACACAATTCTCATGAGCAATATTGCCACTGGAGGTCAGTTTTTCATTTCATCTAACATATACTTGAATATATTAATATACTGTATTAATATTGTTTTGCTGACTTGTTCGCTTGGAAAATAATCTGTTAATTGATTGAATGATTTCATTCGTCAAGTATGAGCAAATTTACCATATGGGAGAAAGGAAATATTTACCTTAAAAAATAATTATATGTTCATAATCATTTAGTTTTAAGTTTAGATCATTAGATTATGGGTTGCCGGATGGTTTGGCTCAAATTTCGGGATTGTTATCATAATTTTAGTAAGCTAAATGTGAGGAAAGGTCCTTAAGCACATCGTCTTACTGTAAAGTGGAAGATGGCTGTGGGTTCTAGCATAGCGGAATGCTGAAACAAGTCATTACTTGATGTAAAACCAGGGAAAGCACCCTTTAAAAAAATTATGTTAAAGAATGCATGAATGTACATGATGATAAATATTGTAACTATTTAATTGTTAGTACTGTGGTCGATGAAGAGGAATTGATATGTGAAGGGTTACTAATAAGTGAAAAGGACTGCGGAGACGCATTGGCATTGCAATACATGTACATGTATGAACAATAATAAAGCCCCTGGAAGCAGGCACGGATCCAGGATTTCTTAGGGGGGAGGCCCATTTGAAATCAATTTGAAATTTAGTGTGCTGAAATTTGAAAATCGAGCCGGCAGATATTTCGCTCAATGGGGGGGGGGGGGGGTGTGGGGGGATGGGGGTGGGGTAGTGAGCACTATTTGGGGGGGGGGGTGGGTAGAGAGCACGTAATTTGTTTTTTCTATTTTGGCCCCGGAAATTTGAAAATTTTCATGCACTACGTAGCATGCACAGTGAAGGTTTGCGAATCCAGCTGGAAGACCAATTAGGGCCACACAGGGAGAATTGCCTTGAGGAGCCAGAGAAGTTAGCATGAGCAGTACACCGTGGAACTGCGATCACGATGAGCGTTTACGATGAGCGTTTCAGATCGCTCATTCTACCTTCAAAATCAAGCATGAACGCGCCCATAGAAAAATAATGTAAAATCCCCTTTAATTGTTAATATCATTTTATCAACGAAGGTGGTGCGGAAGGCATTATATATTCGGGTCGGCTAAATCAATTGCGGTACGAACTTTAAACATGGTGATAATAATCATCATAGGTAAACGATCTGACTATATTTTGGAATATGTATGTATGTCAAATGTCATAAAGGTCAATTCCCATGAAATTAAAGGTAATTAGCCTCATTGTTGTAATATTTCGAGAATCGTTTGAGGTATGAACGTCAAACATGATGATATCATTCATCAGATTACAGGGAGACTAATGGGTTAGTGAACATCTGGAAATTTAGCCTTGTTTCAAGTTCCCGATATCTGAAGTACATATTTGAGGAAATTGACCTAATTACATGTATCACCATAGAGGGACGGAATTATAACAATTAGGTTTAATTAAGAATGTTGAGATCAGAGTTTAGATGTCATGAAATTGAAATGAGATGAAATGTTTTAGCCTCAATGTTCATATTCCAAGGACTCTTTGAGCCACTCATCGTCAAACCACCACAATTTAAGGCACTGGAACCGGGGGCAGAGAGCACAATGCCCTAACGTCAGAAAAACGGACTGTCCCCCTTTTAGACATAGAATCGTAGATGTTTTCATGTTCAAAGAGACATGAGTGATTACAATACGTGCTTGTTGAGATGTTTTTGCCACCTCCACCTCCCCCCTCTCCGAAAGAACAGGTTTCTCATAGCATCCCTTACGGATGCCCTAATTTAAAGCGACTGAGATCAATTGTTTTCACATATTTCCCCCAAAAGCTTGCTTGCATTAAATAGTTTACCTAATAACGTAAACTATCAAAGGTCGTATCCATTCTTTCATTATAATATTAGGCTTAGTTCCTCTTGATAACATCCAATCGATCGCATCTCGACCTCACAAATCTTGCCCTCTCGCGGGCAAATTATTCTTTAGATCATCGAACACACCAGTACTGCATAGTAGGATTTTGAAGCAATTTATTCGACCCTGTAGAAATACAAACAGTGAAATCCTGAAGATCATCCTTGATAATGGGGTAATTACAATAACATTACATTTTTGTTCCACGTTGAGGTTACCAATTGCAGTTGAACCTTTTTATCTATAAAATCGGCGAGAAACCGATGAACACGTCCCACTGGAAACTGGAAACTGGAGCCCTGCACGGGATGAGCGCGTCTTTGCCTTGGTGCGGGCCTTAGGACTCGTTGGACATGTTGCCATCTCGAATTGTATTTCTTTTTTATTTAATTTTATTTAATTAATTATTGTTGTACTGAGCGAGGCGGGAAGATTCGCCGGCAATTCGCTCGAAGATGTCGTTGACGAAGCTGATGAACACGTCCCACTGGAAACTGGAGCCCTGCACGGGATGAAGTCCCCCCCCCCCCCCCCCCCCCTCGTAAAGACGCTCCGTCGCCCTCGTTCATGTGTACATTAGAAGCAACACATTCCATTCCATAGACAATGTGTCATGGGCTGTTTCGGCATTCCCAACAACATTTATTTCAAGGATGTATTTCTTAGTTGCAATTTTCCAGGGACATCCCCTCTCCTTTTCACATCAACTGCACACATTGAGAGCACATAACGACGATGAGAAATTAGGGCTAATGTATTCAGCTACTCGTAGAACCCATGCAATATACACGACCGAAAGTGTTATAAACACAATTCTCATGAGCAATATTGCCACTGGAGGTCAGTTTTTCATTTCATCTAACATATACTTGAATATATTAATATACTGTATTAATATTGTTTTGCTGACTTGTTCGCTTGGAAAATAATCTGTTAATTGATTGAATGATTTCATTCGTCAAGTATGAGCAAATTTACCATATGGGAGAAAGGAAATATTTACCTTAAAAAATAATTATATGTTCATAATCATTTAGTTTTAAGTTTAGATCATTAGATTATGGGTTGCCGGATGGTTTGGCTCAAATTTCGGGATTGTTATCATAATTTTAGTAAGCTAAATGTGAGGAAAGGTCCTTAAGCACATCGTCTTACTGTAAAGTGGAAGATGGCTGTGGGTTCTAGCATAGCGGAATGCTGAAACAAGTCATTACTTGATGTAAAACCAGGGAAAGCACCCTTTAAAAAAATTATGTTAAAGAATGCATGAATGTACATGATGATAAATATTGTAACTATTTAATTGTTAGTACTGTGGTCGATGAAGAGGAATTGATATGTGAAGGGTTACTAATAAGTGAAAAGGACTGCGGAGACGCATTGGCATTGCAATACATGTACATGTATGAACAATAATAAAGCCCCTGGAAGCAGGCACGGATCCAGGATTTCTTAGGGGGGAGGCCCAAATTTGAAATCAATTTGAAATTTAGTGTGCTGAAATTTGAAAATCGAGCCGGCAGATATTTCGCTCAATGGGGGGGGGGGGGGGTGTGGGGGGATGGGGGTGGGGTAGTGAGCACTATTTTGGGGGGGGGGGGGTGGGTAGAGAGCACGTAATTTGTTTTTTCTATTTTGGCCCCGGAAATTTGAAAATTTTCGACCCCCTCCCCCCTCCCTCCCCTCTGGATCCGCGCATGCCTGGAAATGTTGGTCTTAGAGCGGAGTTTTACAAGGTTTTTTGGTTAGAAGTTAAAGATTTGGTTATTGCAAGTTTAAATGAGGGGTATCAACAACTAAAATTATCTTTTCCCCAAAGACAGGGTTTAATTACATTGTTAGTTAAGAAGGGGGATAGGAGTTATCAAGACAATTGGAGACCTATTTCGTTATTAAAAACTGATTACAAGATTGCGGCAAAGGTACTGTCTAAAAGACTTCAACATGTTTTATCAAGTTTCTTTTCAACTAATCAAAGAGGTTTCGAAAATAAAAGACCCGCAGCAGAAAAAAAACGGTTAGTACAAAAACTGATTAAAAAAAAAATAATAATAATAATTTCTTTAATGATAAGACATCTAATAGTTCAGGGATCATAATCTTTTTTGGATTATTTCCCATTGTTTCCTATTTCATGTATTCATGTATTACGTAAATTCAATTTTAAAGAATCTTTTATCACCTGGATAAAGACCTTTTATACTGACGCCATTAGTCGTGTGATGAGTAACGGATGGATTTCAAAAAGGTTTTATTATTGAAAGAGAAGTTCCCCAGGGTTGCCCATTATCAGCTTTTCTTTTTAAATAGTAGTGTAAATATTAGCATGTAAAATAAGACCAATTTGGAAAAAAAGATATTGATATATTCAGTGTCAATTTAGGTATCGATATTTTAAACATTTCCCAATATGCAGAGTGATACGACATCATTTAAAAATTCTATTAATGATGTACAATATATTATAAATGAAATTAAATATTTTGAAGACTATGCAGGTCCGAAAGTAAATTGGAATAAGAAAGAAGTTAAGAAACTGAATATTGTAGTCACACATTTTCGTGAAAATGACAATATAAATACGGAACAACCTGTTAAACATGTACGAGTATATGTAGGCGAAATAAGACATTGTTGCAAGATTTAAACTGAAATGTAAAAATGAATAACATTCGGAATGTATTAAATATGTAGAAAATGAGTGATCTCACTTTTTATGGTATAATAACTGTTTTGAAAATGTTAGCGGCGTCACAAATTGAGCAACTGTTGTACCAGTATCAAAACATGTTTTTACAGATATTGAATAGACTATAGTTCTGTTTTTGTATGGAATTCCAAAACATATGAAATTGAAAATGGTTGATTGATTAAGATTGATGTTGCTAATAAAATATCTTCACTTCGTTTAGCGAGGATACCTTGTTTCTTTCATGATAATGTCTCTTTTAAATTGGAAAAATATGCTTAAAAACTGGTCAGATAAAATAGGGGGTTGGCCACTTTGTTTACAGTTCAATCGCAATATAAAAGATATTTATTTATTATGCACTAGACCTCGAATCATAATTTGCCAGAAATTATATAGACATTTTTTGTACTTCGTCAGAAATTAGATTCATTGATATGTTTAAGGTAAGGAATATTCCAAATGAAATTATTTGGAAAAATAGTATTAAACACTACTTTAAAAATAGAAAATCTTATTCAACGTTTCAATTATTTTTTTTGTATTGCAAGGATGTGATTAAGTTTTGGAAAATAATATGTAATTTGATATTTCACCTTTTCAAAGGAGAACTATCAATCAACCAAAAGAAATTAGTTGTATGTAAGGACATAGGACACACGAATTATACTCTCCTAAATATTATTTTAAATCATGCGCAATATGCAATTTATATATGTAACGTTAAAAAGACTGTCAGTAGTTCGGTTATTTACCCGCTTGCTATTTATTTAAAAAAATTAAGTCGTTGCTAAGATTGTTTTAAAGGTATGAATTTGTTAGCAAAGAAAATAATTCTAAGCTGGAAGAATTGTTGAATATACTTTCATTGAGTAATTAATGTAAATATGTATTGACTTTTGGAAATAAAAACCTCGCTTGAGGAAAAAAGAAAAAAAATCACAAAGACGTAGATCAGTCAGTGATAATTATGACTTTTTAGTCTTGAACATGAATCGCATTCTAATTTTTTTTTAAATGGATGTAAACCAACTAGTATGCAGCATTGTCGTGATCATAGGATGGTGAATAATACCGATTCTGGGGACAAGTCAAATGATAGATGATTGGGAAAATACCGGTTTGTAAAATTATGCAATATGTAGTAGAAATTGGTATTTCCGAAAGAATTGAAATCATTTATCTTGTTTTCCATCTATAGGTCCTGAAGAAAATAAAAACATCCAAGTGGTGGAACTTCCCATCGTAGGCAGGTTATCTCAGGACCTAAGGCCGGACTTCCTGCCATTGGCAATCCCAGAAGACATCTCAGAGAGACTGGAAAGAGTACATGGTAACCCCGCCGTTTGGTGGATAGGTCAGATCATGACCTACATTCTGAGACCTCAGCCTCAACTCCAAGAATTCATGGACAATGAGACAGCGGCCTTAGGATTCACACATCCGATTGTTGGGTGAGACGAATAAATTGGATTTGATTTGAGTTGATTTGATTTAATTTCTTTCCATCGTGGTAGAAGAATATATTGGTAAAAGATGAGTCACAGTCCTTTAACCCCCCCCCCCTCTCTCGCCTACCTGCGCTAAAGAAACTACATGTCAGCTTGTCAAGAAAAAAATGGGCGGTACACCCACCCACCTCCCGGCCAATCTTAATAAATTTCAAGTCAACCAACCGAAGTATAACAGGGATACCCCATCGAAACTCCAGCCAAAGTCTGTTATCTACTTTTCAGGATAAGTATTTTGAATTCATAAGTATACACTGCAGTGGTACGGTATGGCACGGATCAACGGTCCGATACTTGGTTGGTACTAGGGACTTTTAGATTTAGACGACGAGAGCGTGGACTGCCGCGTGTGACATCGTGTTAAGGCACTGGGCCGTGGGCTGTGCCCGGCAGTGCCTTAAAAGGACGTCAAATTACCTTAAAAGGATGTCACACATGGCGGTCCACGTTGTCGTCGTGAAAATCTAAAAGTCCCTATTGTACTGAATATGTTACCCTACAGTTTGATTCTGGCTAGTTTTGCTATGTCGTAGTTTATGTGACATGTTTAATCTCAGTGTCACTTTCTTTATAATGATCGAATGCACTTTTCTCCTTATAATGCTAAGTGTCCCTGTACAAAATCTTATCAGTGTCCCTTTCTTTATAATGGGTGTTCTTTCTACTTCTAAATGTCCCTTTAAAAAATCTTATCGGTGTCCCTTTCTTAATAATGAATGCCCTTTCCTACCTCTAAGTGTCCCTATTCAAAATCTTATGAATTGGCATCTCAATTTAGTTGGAAATGACACCTTAAACGTTTTTCTGGACTATTTGGTTCAAAAGTTAAGCGTGTTTGTACATTACACCATGCAGACTGGCGGCCATTTTGGATTTGACCTCTCAGGGTCATCAGAGGTCAAATCTGACTTCCATCCACATCTGAAAATAATTCTTATGGTGAAAGCTATCTATGCTAGAAGTTTCATGCTTTTCATAAAAAGTGCACAATTTTCTTGCTAGGCCGCTGCACTATAGGGGCCTCTTTCCCTACCAAATTGCCTTTTCTTTTTATGCTCCTCCACCCCTCCATTTCAACTAAAAAATATTGATTTTTAGACAAATAAATGCACGTCTCTTCAAGTGGCCTAGAAGCCAGAATCACCTAGAGACTATCTAGAAAAGGGTACATTTCCACTGCCTGATCTCACACACACTATGGAGTAACTGAGCCAACAGGATACATGTTCACTGTGAATGTGTATTGCATGCAATGGTGCAATCAGGATGTGTTCCCACTCATTCCTGGAAACAGAGAAATCTTGCCTTGCTTGTTTGTCTCCTCAGAGCAAGAAGGGCATTAACTCTAATCAGTTTTAGTAGTTAACGCCCTTATCGCTTTCAATAGACATGTTACTAGTTTTGGGTGATACCATAACGTTATTCTATTAGCATCTTATACAAGAAAGGAACGGTTTTCCCATACCCTGGCAGGGCCTGGGGCGCTCTGCGCTCTCACTCCCTCAATGACGTCCACCTCATGTAATGTGTGCACGCCCAGTAAAAATTCTAGTTACGGCCTGAGTGAATTATACCGATTGGTTTGTAAAATTGCAAGGATAAATTGCAATTGTGTACTCGTATTAAAGATGCATGCATCGTCGCGTATCTTTTATTTGTATTTTATTTTCTTTTTACTTTTAGCACAAATAATCAAATATATTTGACAGTCATTTTAACATCAGTTAATTGATATCACAAATTATATCATGCATCAACAATTTATTGGTTTTTGATTGGTTGACAGCTCGTCACGTGACCAGAAATATTTCAACTATTTAAAGGTTGCTCTGAAAAAGATAAAAGATAAATTTCCATGTTACAAACTGTTATTTTTTACATCTGTGACTTTGAATAAAAACCTTCACCCCACATTTCAGTTACCATCTACCTAAAGAATAAGTAGCCGACATCTTGGACATTCCTTTCTTCAACAAACCGTATTTGAATATTCAATTTATATAATCCCTACCTGGGTATTAGTAAATCAATGAGATGTTCAACTAATCTTATAATCTAATAATTGTAATGTGGGGTGAAGTTTTTTATTCAAAGTCACAGATGTAAAAAAATAACAGTTTGTAACATGGAAATTTATCTTTTATCTTTTTCAGAGCAACCTTTAAATAGTTGAAATATTTGTAATAGTTTGTAACATGGAAATTACAACATGTACCATCACCCCATCCTGACTCCCATGAACACACCACTGAGTCTACTAGGGAAAGTTACAATGCTACAATAAAAAATGCAATTCCTGTTCACTCATGCATAAAATTTTGGTTTAATAAACCATGAAATTCACTCAGCAAATCATGAATGTATCAGATCATCCTCCAAAGGATTTACCTCTCACAAATTGGAAGGCTAATTCCTGCGCAACCTAATTTTCATACCCTTTACAAAAATGAGCAGTGCTCACCCAAGCATGAATTATTTTCGGAATTTTTAGTGTCATAATTATGAAAGTTGAGTTTATGAGCTTTCCATCCATATAAAACTATTCCCCCAGAATCATATATTTTTTATTCGGCAGCCATTTCAAAAGTGTATAGTTTGTTTTGGGACGCATGGTATTGGAGTCGCCTCTTGCGCGTAGTTTTTTGTTTAGAGCAATACTTGTATAGCATTACCAAAAAATAACTAAAGGTACATTCTCAGCTTTGCAAGTCGAAACTAAACGAGCTGAGGGTTTGGAGCTAATCAGGGTATCTTCTTGACTAACGTGGATTTCACGTTATTCTTTTCCACCACTGAAAGCATTCAAGTAAGGCGTACAGATAAACTCTTCTGGGAAGCCAAATTTCACGGTATCGAGGAGTACATGGTCTACGCCGAAGAATTCTACCTGGAATTGGAGAAGAGACAAGAAGTGCCGGTCAGGAGAATCTTCTTAGCAACAGACGAGGCCAGTCTGCTCGAAGAAGCCAAAAAAAAGTGAGTTTAGGACAACAGTCGTGGCTTAAGAGCACCATGCAGAAACACGTAGGTCTTGTGGTAAACCTTGAATTTTAATCTTAGTCTTGTACCCCCTGTCCACATACAACATTTTCCGTGATTAGCTATACCGTTTCGCGATAGTGATACCGTTTCGCGATAGTTTTACGATGAAAATTGTGTGTGTGGACGCTCACTAACGATACGTCGTATAACGAAACTAGTCTAACGAAACGCAGGTTTGGGCATCGTTTCGAACTGAAACTCAATAAAGAATCACGCCTAATCACGGAAAATGTTGTGTGTGGACAGGGGGAGTGTAACTAGTGTAACTAACTGGGCGGGGCTTAACGTGACCTCGAGCGAAAGAAGACCTGACCTCTCATTTTCGCTTCCATTTCATGATCGCAGTAGCAAACTGCGCACCTATACGACATTTCGCTGTAGAGTTTCATGATTACCTTCTTCTGTGTGTGGACATCCTGGAATTTATACGATGATTATTTATACGACGATTCTTGTGTGTGGACACTCTAAAATTTATACGATGATTCTTTATACGACGTTTCGTTATAGAGTTTCGGGATAAATTGTTTTGTGTGTGGACACGCTGTTAGTCTTTCGGCAAGACATTAAACTACATTTGCCATACCCGACCCAGGTAAAGTAAATAGGTACCCGCAGGTAGTTATTTTTTGAACGTTCCAGTGCCTTCGTCAGGACATCTAGGTTATATCAGAGATAATAATCCAAACGTTAAATTGTTGATATGCGCCATACAAGAACTAAGTATGTTGATATGTTCGTGGTAGGATGAGTTGAATGAGGTTTTAATTTTAAAAAATGAGAAAAATAAAGCGCACATACCCAGGCACTCATATATTACCTCCGGCTCTGCGAGACTCCGTAACAGTGCTCATAAGCATCCCGCCCCCCCCCCCCCCTCCACTCAAAGGTCGGAATGACCGCATGCGTGTTGCCAAAATGTCCGGTAAAGGGGTACTTTTCGTGCGACAAAGTCCGGCCCCGAGAATTGTAAAAAAAAGGGGTGTATTTGACTTTTCACCCGGAGATTTCTTTAAAAAGGGGGTGTTTTTCTTTTTTTCTCTTATCTCTTTGGACTCCTGAGAAATTATTCCGAATTTAGGGGGGTATATTGAACATTTTTCCTGATTTAGGGGGGTCTCCAAGGCAGGAAAAGCCCGCGAAAAGCCCGCGAAAGGGGGGTTCGGAAATGTTGGCAGTCCTCAGATAGGGGGTGCTTTCAAAAAGAGGGTACGAGCATATGCGTACCCTAAATAACACTGAGTGGGGGGGGGGGGGCCGGGATAAGCATTCAAGTAATTCCTTCCTGCCGGTACCAATTAATGCCCGCGTCACCCTGTCCCGAAGTTGACACCATATGGACCGTATCCGGACACCTACCTCCTGGACATCCACCCCCGGATAACCACCTCCAGTCTAACTACCCCTAAGGACAACTACCCCCAGGACAACCACCCCCAGGACAACCACCCCTAGGTCAACTACCCCTTAGGACAACTACCCCCAGGACAACCACCCCTAGGGCAACTTCCCCCTAGGACGACTTCCCCCTGGGACAACTACCCCCTGACAACTACCCCACAGACAACTACCCCGAGACAACTACCCCCCGGACAACTTCTCCCCGGAAAACTACCAACTAGGATAGTTGTCCGGGGGATAGTTGTCCTAGAGGGTGGTTGTCGTAGAGGGTAGTTGTCTGGGGGTAGTTGTCCGGGTGGTAGTTGTCCGGGGGTAGTTATCCTATGAGTAGTTGTCCGGTGGGATTTGTCCGGGGGTAGTTGTCCCAGGGGGTAGTCGTCCTAGAGGGTGGTTGCCCTAGAAGGGTAGTTGTCCTAGGGGGTAGTTGACTGGGCAGGTTATCCGGGGGTGGTTGTCCAGGGGGTAGGTGTCCTAGAACCCAGATAGACACACGAATATGGAATTTGGAATTTTGCACGAAGATGGCCCCGAACTGTAAATGGGTATCTGGTACTGCTGGTAGGATTGTTCTTTGAAATGTACTGTGCGCAGCCTGATAACGGCTGCCCGAGCTATTAAAGCTAGTGTAATCATTCCCAAAGCTCTTTGTTAGCGCATATAGGGACGTTCGACAATGTGTATGCGCTATACAAGAACTGAATATTTGTCTTGTTTTCATTACAGGAGGTTGCTTGTTGTTTTGACGGCTGGTGGGGGGGGGGGGGGCGGAGGAGGCTGCTGGCAGATGATTTAAAAAGGTTTAGTTCATATCCTTTTTATGCCTCCGCCACCGAAGGTGGTGCCGGCACTATGAACATGACTGACAATGAAAGCGGACAAAATAACCAGTTCCTCAGGTAGACAAAGGAACATCCCTTCACTGCTATTATGTACAAATGTGTAGAACAGGTGAATATGCATGTGACACCTGTTCTACGCACTTTTACATAATAGCAGTGAAGGGATGTTCCTTTGTTTACCTGAGGAACTGTATATTTTGTCCGCTTTCATTGTCAGTCATGTTCATAGTGCGGAGGCATCATGTTTTCGGGTTGTCCGTCCGTACGTCCGTACGTCCGTCCTGTTTGACCGTTATCACAATATCTCAAGAACCATTTAAGATTTAAACTTAAGACTCGGGAATAGTATTTTATCACCATAGGAAGACGATCTGATTAGATTTTGGAGTACGTAGGTCAAAGGTCACAGGTCACAGAGGTCAACTTATGAAATTCCTTGGATTGAGTTTGTTAGCGCGATATCTCAAGAACCATTTGAGATTTAAACTTCAAACTTAAGGATAGTATGTATCACCATAGGAAGACGATCTGAATAGATTTTGGAGCACGTATGTCAAAGTCCAGGGTCACAGAGGTCAACTTATGAAATTCCATACATTGAGATTGTTATCATGATATCTCAAGAACCACTGGAGATTTAAACTTCAAACTTAGTGATAGTGTGTATCACTATAGGAAAACAATCTGATTACATTTTGGAGCACGTAGGTCAAAGGTCAAGGGTCATAGAGGTCAACTTATGAAATTCCATACATTGAGATTGTCATCATGATATCTCAAGAACCACTGGAGATGTAAAAACTTCAAACTTAAGGATAGTATGTATCACCATAGGAAGACGATCTGATTAGATTTTGGAGCACGTAGGTCAAAGGTCAAGGGTGACAGAGGTCAACTTATGAAATTCCATACATTGAGATTGTTATCATAATATCTCAAGAACCACTGGAGATTTAAACTTCAAACTTAATGATAGTGTGTATCACCATAGGAAGACAATCTGATTAGATTTTGGAGCACGTAGGTCAAAGGTCAAGGGTCACAGAGGTCAACTTATGAAATTCCATACATTGAGATCGTTATCGCGATATCTCAAGAACCACTGGAGAATTTTCACTTCAAACTTAATGATAGTATGTATCACCATATCATAATATCTCAAGAACCACTGGAGATTTAAACTTCAAACTTAATGATAGTGTGTATCACCATAGGAAGACAATCTGATTAGATTTTGGAGCACGTAGGTCAAAGGACAAGGGTCACAGAGGTCAACTTATGAAATTCCATACATTGAGATAGTTATCATGATATCTCAAGAACCACTGGAGATTTAAACTCCAAACTTGTTTAAATTGCTCTTTGGCGGAGGCATCATTTTCGACTGCGCGCAGTCAAAATTCCTTTTAGTTTCCTTCTTGTTCATAGATAAAGTTTATATCTTATCGGAACTTTATAGATCAACCAAACAGTCAGTCATAGAGATTGATTGATAAAGTTCTAGGAACATATAAAATAATAAATGAAAAATAAATCGCAATCATGTCGCAATCATTTCATGAAGTTCCGTGCCGGAGCTGTTTGAACCACTCGACTATGTCACTGCTGTGATATAATTTGCAACATGACTTTATTTTTTATGTTATATTTTTACAGATATCCTGGTTATGTGTTTGTGAGTGACAATAATATATCTCAGTCAGCTAAAGTATCAACAAGATTGTCAGAGGAATCTTTTATGGGTATCATCGTTGATGTTTATCTTTTGGCTCGTTCGGATTTTCTCGTTTGCACGTGCTCCTCAAATGTATGTATTTCTTTTTTCGCGATTTCTGTTGCAGTATATGTACTAATGTTATTATTATTTTTTGTATAAATTTATTTATCTATTGATTGATTCATTTCTTTTTTGCTTATTTGTTTATTCATTCACTCACTCATTCACTCATATAATTACCTTTTGATTTTTTATATCGATGAACTTGAAAAAGCATAAAATACGCTTAACCTAATTCGCTTAACCTATTTCTTCTTCTTCTTATAAATTATTATTGTTATTATGATTATATCTACTGTTTTTATAGGGGAGGGGAAGGTCACTTTGACGTGTTAAACCTATTGAATTTAATCAGTCGGGTAGGGGATTGGGGTATTGTAGATAGAGCGCTGGTTGATGTTATTCCCTTGACAGTCCACGTCATCTCCCCCTGACAACATCTTCCCCTTTTAATATAAATTGTCAAAAAATGATGTCTTCCTTCCGAAAAAAAAAATCTAAATGGTCCATGGGTTATATGAGGGAAAATGACCCTAATTTATAGAGCTCTTGGTGATCAATAAGGCCTTTAAAAAATATGTTGTTTTGCCCTTGGCGACCGACCCAAAAATCTTGAAATCTACTGTCTTTTTTTGAAAAAAGTTTTTATTTTTACCGTTTTTTAGAAGGAAAAAAATGTATTAAAGCATTCAGACTGAGAAATATCAGCCCAAAGAGGGAGTAAAAAAAAAAAAAAAAAAAAAGATTACACGCGAGTAAGAGATGCTTTCATTGTATAGTGAGGATATTACTTTTTAAGGTATTTCGTTGCCAGGAATCATTCTACTATTTTCCAGATTTATCGTTCGGACCCGAAATCGCCTGCATGATTAACTGCCCCAATGCTCATTTCTCAGACTATCTTGCCGAACAAAATCAAGAGTCTTTTTTTTTAAAAACCCAACAAGCCCCAATGATATCATTAACGTTATCCGATCTCTTAACAACGCACAATCTCATGGTTGCGATATAATAAATATGTATCTCCTAAAAGAAATAATCTACCCACTTGCTATGCTCTTAACTCACATATTTAATCACTTGTTATCACAAGGTGTATTCCCTGATTATTTCAAACAGCTCAAGTCAATCCAATTTTGTTTAAAGACGATCCCCATGAAATTAACAATTATCGCCCCATTTCTTTACTTCCAAGTATATCAAAACTCTTAGAAAAATTTGTTTATACTAGGCTATACAAATTTAAAAACAAACACAATATACTTAATTCAAATCAATATGGTTTCAGGAAAATTACTCATCTGACCTAGCATTAATTCAAATTAATGACAAAATTACAAGAGCCAAGGCTAACAAAGAACATGTTTATTGGAATTTTGTGACCTGAGTAAAGCGTTTGATACGCTCAATCACGCTATTCTACTTTCCAAACTCAGTATTAAATTACGGGATTCGAGGTCAATCACTCTCATGGTTTAAAGATTATTCAACAAACAGGAGACAATATGTTGCATTCAATGGATATAATTCTGATTCCCTATTAGTCAAGTGTGGTGTCCCCCAAGGCTCCATTCTGGGCTCTCTTTTATTTCTGCTCTATGTCAACGACATTATCAATACATCCTCCCTTCTTTCTTTTGTCCCATTTGCTGACGACACAAATATATTTTGTTCTCACAAAGACCTTAACTCATTAAACAATATCTTAACTCATGAAATTGATAAAGTATCAAACTGGTTTAAGTCCAATAAACTTTCTCTTAATATAAAACAAGACTCATTTCATGTATTTTAAACATCATTCTCACAATAGGGACTCCCCAGTATATTAAGATCGATGATATGACAATAGAGCTAGAGAGGAAGACTAAGTCCAAGTTTTGGGGTGTAATTATAGATGAAGCTTTGACATGGAATGAGCATCTACACCACGTTACAATGAGCATTTCCAAAAGCATTGGGATAATTTCCAGGTTAAAGTTCTACCCCATGCAACCTTATTCGTATTATATGGTACGCTAGTATTCGGGACCCATACATAACATATTGCAACATCGTATCGTATATGGGCTAATTGCGTTTCGACTAAAATCAATTCTATTTTCAAATTACAAAAAAAAAGCTATCCGTATTTGTACAGGAACACATTATTTGGCTCACACTGACCCCTTATTGTCTAAACTTAGAACACACAAAACAAAATTGATTTGAATACTATTCGAGTAGCAGTTATTATGTCCAAGTATATGAATAAACAACTTCCACCATCCTTTGATAGCATGTTTAGTTTTAATTGTTCTGTTCATTCCTATACCCCACTTGCATTTCTAGAAATTCCCACCTGACTATTAAACCTCATAATATTAATAACGCACAAATCCATTAGACATTGTGGTCCGGATATTTGGAATAATTTTCCCGACAACATCAAATTTTGTTCAACCCTCTATTCCTTGAAAACCACACTTAAACGAAAAATAATACAATCATATGTGCCAAACGCTCTAAATTAGTATAATATCTTTGTCTAAAACCATGATTTAAAATTCCTTTTACTCAACTGCCGTCTGCTGCTACATCTTTTTTTTTTCCTACCGAGGCCGCCATCCATTTCCAGCCTAACCGCCCACGATGGCGGTCTCCTGCGTTCTGACATTTAGTTAAATAAAAAAATATATACAAATATCTGTTATACTTCTGTGTATGCTTTTTATTATGGTTATTGTATAATATTATTAGACATGATTTGCTATGTATGTAATACTTATGTAAAAATGTATAACCTTGTATTTGTTATTTGAACGCAGAAATAAAATCAATCAAACAAATATGCACGGCCAGTGGTGTTCATGGCTTAATTAAAGCCCCACTGCCCTACTTATAGCTATTTGCGCCCTCTATATAGCAAACATGGTTCCTCATGGTCCCCTTTGCCTTATGTTTATTGAGAGCTGATTGGATGAGATAACCACCTGTCACTGACCATATGCAGGGAGGTATAATCCACCTGCTATACCTTCCAAATCAGCCTACTATGAAAACTTACAGTCCTAATAAATGGTTGCCAAGTATATTGAAGGGACTTGGTGACATTGTTCAGATGAAAGAAAATGGTGCTAAGGTATTGACTTCAATGTTAGATGTAAAATTAAAGATAATCTGAAAGTTTGAGTGAAAATAGACTTATTATTAATGATAAAAATTGGGAAAAACTGATCTGATCGATTCCTTAATCCTCCCAACTATATTATTACAATTTAATTTCATTTTAGGTGAATGTAAATCGTCACAGAGCAATCAATTGGCTCTGTATACCATTTCAGACATTTAAGTTTTGAAGGATTTTTTAAAGCCTTTCTTATGTCTTATTTTCATGGAAAAACGGTTGGGAAAATTCAAAAATGGTTGGAACTGTTAAAGGGTGTCGCACAGTGACACCTTCAAAGAAAAACATAAATATCTTTGTGGTTTGAGAATTTGTTCAGTATTTTTGGCATGTTAGAAGGTTAGTACAGTAAAAGGAATATAAAAAGAAAAGTTTCATTAAAAAGTTACGGAATTTTTTCATCAACCTTGAACAATGTTACCGAGTCACTTTAAAGCAAATTTGATTTTTGATCTTGTTCTAAATTTTAACTTCTGACACGGGAACGCTTATGCAAAATATAAATGAATGAATATTTACACAAACTACAAAATTCATACTTTGCTCTCTCTTAACGCAGGTTTGTCGACTAGCTTATGAGATGATGCAGCATTACCACGTGGATGCTGCCACCAAAGTCCGCTCCATTGACATGAACTACTACTTTCATGGTCAGACTCCAAATAGCTTAGGCAAAAAAGCCAAGATGCCTGTGTATGAAGGGGCTGAGAACGTTCACTTGTAATCCCCAAATCCAAAGCCTAAGCCATTTATACCTCATTGATTGGTTGATTGAATCAATTTATTTTCATAAATACTAAACACTGAGCAGACCATCATAGATTAAAATCAACAACTACCAATCGCTGTTTGGAAAAAAGCCACATGTCTATTATACCATAATCATGATAATATAGTGCAGTATAAAATATTACATGACTGAAGATCTGACACATGAAGAGTTGAAGACCTCATCGAGAAGAGAAGGTGGAACACAGCCGTTCAGCATGTAGGGCATGTATATACAGGAACTTTTTAAAAACAAGGTGAAGCTCCGCTTCTCAGCCGGGAAGTACGATGCGACTCGGAAACTTAGCAGTTGCCTTGAAGACATTAGGTTCTGGTCTTTTAACAATAGACTTTGCCTTAATGAACGAAAATATGAAATTATCCAAATTACTTCCAAATTCAGAAACACCGATTTATTTCCCGACTTGGTTACCGGAGATGATTCACTGAAGGGTAGTGAATACGTACTAGACCTTGGTGTTTTAATCGACAACAGTCTTATATTTCAGCAGCATATTAAAAACGTACCCTTTTAATTCATGGATGATATTCTGCAGTCGGTCAAAGGAGGTGCACACCGTATTATTCCTTGTTTGTTTGATTTCATGTTTGATCTCATTTATATTATTATTATTATATATATGCATGATTTATTGAATAAAGAACAGATTCACAATTTGTGTGTTTATTATAAGTGTTGGTTAATAATTTTTAGTCAGACAATGTTGCGCTTAGAGACACCCGTATTAAGCCCCTAATAAACGTTGTGGATTATTATTATCATTAAGTGGAGGAACCAAGCGGGAGTCCCGTACGAGTTCAAATCGGACAGTTTTGTCCAGACTGTTAGGTGAATTTATGTATGTATATATATATAATGTATGATATGACACGTAGAATGTATAATATACAGTTAACAACTAATTATTCATACCCCCTCGTAAATTTGATGTTTTTGTGTTTTTCGTAACTCGAGAATGAAAGCTGGACTGGTTGAATATGGGCCTTTGTTAAATATTTTGAGATGTAAGTTTTCATATGTCACATTCAGAAGAAATAAAGTCGATACAACTTAATTCTTCACAAACCTAAAAATGAAAAAAAACTTGGTTAGGGTATAAATAATTAAGTTGATAAGTGCATAATGTATAGCGGAAAATTAGAATTATTGCATGTTATAAACTCATTTGCATCCCTCCTTAATTTCCTTCCTTTTTCCTTTTTCTCATTCCTATTTTCTTTGTCTTCTTGTCTCTCTCTCTTATATCACTCTCTGTGTATATCTCGCTTTAACGAATACGCGCGAAAGGGCCGCCATCGGCGGCCTTTCGCGCGCGTTTTGTGAGCGATATAAGGTGTTGAAAGGACGTTCTTGAGAGTTGACACAATTGTGGATTGGAAAAACAAAACAAAAGAAGTTGGTGAATGCTATCCTAAAGCCCCCATCACACCAAACTAGTTCTCACTACGTTCTGGAACCGTCCTAGAACATCGTAAAACGGATTGTGGTCGGGGTAGAATGTGTAAATAATGTCTTTATACGATCCTTGTTAGTCCTCATTTCGTCCATCTCGTCTGTACCCCGTCCATAGTCAGTTTATATCAATTTCAGATCGGACACGTTTGCCATTTCCAAGCAGTCCGTCTGTAATTAGTTTAGACCCGTTTTTAACCAGTTCTCTCTCGTTACCAATACGTCCAAACCCATTTTAACTAGTTCGCAAATTGTTCTAACTAGTTTGTAACCCGGCCATCCCGTTCAGAGACAGTTCAACTCGTCCTCATCTCGTTCTTAGTACGTTCGAACGCGCTCCAAGAGTGTGTGCAATCCCGTCCTAACTCGAGGGCTAAACAAACCCAATACAGCACGTTCTTGCCATGCAACTTCAACGCTTCAAGCTTTGCAGATCAAGACATTCAAGTGAAGCCCTCATCACACCAAACTAGTTCTCACTACGTTCTGGAAAATGTTGCCAAACGGGCTCAAACTGTGTGTGAACGGAGTGAACGTATTAGCATCTTTTTAAGAACTTCATATATGGCCTCGGACTGGCTTGGACGCGAAGGGTGCTCTAGAACTTTGAGTCTGTTCCAAAATTTCCCCGTCCTGCAATTAGACGGAGTGACAACGTACTTAAAACGAGATTGACCTTACTACGAATGCCGGGAATTGCCGTTCTTCGATCCTAATAGGAACGTGTTACAACGTGATGTGGTCGAGCATCAATTAGCAAGAACGCAAGAAGAAACGCGCTGGGTTTGTATAGCCCTCGAACCAGGACGGGATTGCACACGTACGATAAGAGCGCATTCGAATGCACTAAGAACGAAATGAGGACAAGTTGAACTGTCTCCGAACAGGGTGGTTGGGTTATAAACTAATTAGAAGAAGTTGCGAACTATAGTACGAATGGTTTGGACTGCTTGGAAATGTCAAATTTACCCGATCTGAACTTGATATGAACTGACTGTGGACGGGGCATAACGAGTCGGACGTATTGTGGACTGTTAATGAACGAACTAGGATCGTATTATAGAGATTAGACCAGTCTGAGCCCGTCCATGAAGTTCTTAAACAGATCGTAAACAGTTGCTATTGCGGTCAGCTCCGTTCGCACACAGTTTGAGCCCGTTTCGCAACATTTTCGTGAACGTAGTGAGATCTAGTTAGGTTTGATGGCCCCTTAAACAGAATTATAATAATAATGATATGGCTTATATAGCGCCTAAGACTTATCGGAAGTTTCTAAGCGCTCTGCAATAATGCAGCATAATTATCCTGCATGACTTTAGCAGAGCAGCTGTCACGCGCTCTCTGCGTTTCAAGGAATAAATTCCTGCAGGAGCACATTTACTTCACCTTGGTGGAGTGCAGCATAGTGTAGATGAATTTCTTGCTGAAGGAAATCAACGTCCTGAAGTGGGATTCGAACTCACGACATTATGATTGAAAGACGAGAGTCAGAATCGCTATGATGCTTCCAGATCGTGTGCGCCTAATACATGTACAATAATAAATCCATTCTTATTTCTAGGTGATTTGATGTCGTCTATCTGACATAAAAAATTCAACTAAGCAACTTTTAAAATCAAAAGTGGTTGCCATAACCTTGAAATTTCCCCCAAACCCATGGATAAGAAGTTGTTAAATATTTGTCACCGAAACGGCAGCCATTTTGAATGTACATGGTCAAGGTAAGCACTTTTACTTTTGAAGGTCGTATAGTTGAATTTGCCATGTCAGAAAGCATATTAAACAGTATATCTTTTCAAAATGAACGATTTTTTGTTCACTTTTTCTCAAAATTTCATCAAACTGATTCCTTGATTTGTCTTTCACATCTCCACACACTACTACCCACATATCTGACTTATCGATCTCTGTTCTATCTACACACGCTCTCCAGTCTCTTCACTTATCGTTAGAACATAAAGGAATGGCGGTCACTCTAGACAAATAATTGAAACAAATGGAAACAAGATATGCAAATTATACAATTTAATATGTACCACTGAATACAAATAAATACGACTGTGTACAAATCGTCCTTGTTTTAACGAAGTGACGGTAGTGAGGAAAATCGTAACGCAAAGTGAATGCAATTTTTTTCTCACTACCGTCACTTCGTGAAAACAGCGACGAAATATATTACTATTACGAAGATAAATTCATCTTCTTTATCACAGCTTAAATAACTAAGGATAAATTTATCTTCATTTAACAGCTCAATGAGGATAAAGTTATCTTCATTTAACAGCTAAATGAGGATAAATGTATCTTCATTTAACAGCTAAATGAGGATAAATTTATCTTCGTTAACACAGCTAAATGAAGATAAATTTATCCTCATGGAACTGCGTTAACGAAGATAAATTTATCCTCATTAAACTGTTAAATGAAGATAAATTTATCCTCATTTAGCTGTTAAATGAAGATACATTTATCCTCATTAAACGGTGTTAACGAAGATACCGGAAAGCGAAAGCGACCACAGTGAACTCGTCTTCTTCTTCTTTGTCGTAGCCGTACTTTATCAAACATATTAGATCAAGTAAAAATCCTTCATTAAAAATAGTTGAACACTGGATCGGATATTATTTCGAGGTTCAGATATTTTCGACGCACTTCTCGTCACGATTTTGAATTGATAACATACTACGAAACGAGGACCATAATCATAATTATAAACGTTGGTTATGCATAAAAAAAATTGTTTATTATACATCATTCTAAAAAGTATCAAGCCTAATATTTATGCGCTATGAATCATGAACAGGCAACCCAGAACAGTCTAGCGTATATTATATCCTATACTATTTGTATAATGCATTATTATTTATATCACATTTACTTGTGTCCATGCATTCCAAACTAGACAATTATGATGAAAGGAACATACAGGAAAGGCAAGGGAGATGGAACTGACAACTCCCAGGTATAGCTATAAGAATGGACATGATCCGAACCAATATGAGACTGTGAATAAGACTAGAATATCATGGAGCTAGTTCCAAGCAGTACTTATCAAGGTCGGGCTGGCGATGTCCTAGTCCAGAATCTGGTCTATTTAATTTTGAACTCCACCGGGCACACCAACGCTACCTCTCCCTACTTATTTGCTACCAGCCGATGATGGCGTGATCATTAAATTAAGACGCCCGGCGGCGCATATTTTTTTTACACAACTGTTTAGCCACTTCAGTCAAATATACTGTGCAAACGACTAGAGACAGAGTCTAGCACTACCCTTATCATATCAGTGTTGGATTGCTGGGGCTGTACACGTGTACATACTCGTTATTTGTTTTGGGTTAAATATATCGTCTCTTCTCTTTCATTATGTATTTCTGTGTTCTCCTTCAATCTATCCTCTTCTCTTTTGTCATGTTTTTTTTCCTTCTTTTTCTTCAGTCTATCCTTTTTCTCCTTCGTTATATGTCTTTGTTTTTCCACAA